TGACTGAATGCTTCTTTGTGGAACCAAAAATGGTTCTTGTATGGCATCGCTGTAAGGAACCTTTTGAAGCACCTTTATTTTTAAGAGTGCAAGCTTCTATTCCAAAGTCTTCTGTTTTAAATCTGGCTTTGGAAATGCAGCAAAGTCGGAGGTGTGTTTTAGATTAGATGCTCACTCCAAATTGTCATCACTCATTGCTGAGATTTCCATTATGGCACCCTTGGCATGGCTGAATTCAGCATGCATTTTGATGAAGCTCTTAGATATTTCTGTTATTTTATGTTATTTTGTAAAACAGCCTTTTTTTGAAGACAGTCTGAACTTTGGTTTAGTTTCTTAAATCTGAAGCAAAAAGTCAATTGTACCATCTTACAGAAGATAATTCACAAAGTACATTAAATTCATTCATTAAACCAGCGACGTAAACACCAGCAAAACCAAAGCCAACTGCCTGATCTCTTTTGAAAGCAAAGTCAAGTACACATGCTAATGTGCCAGATTTTGTTCTGCAAGTGTTTCCAAACTGCTTCTTACTCACTTATCTTCCTTGTCTTTTAGAGCGTGGTGTGTTATGTCAAAGCTGCTCTGCCAAGGGTGCTTGAACTGTTTAACGTCCACTTCAAATACGTGCGGGGCTCAGGAAGTGCTCAAGCAGTGGTCTCTATACAGAACCTCATTCTCAACATCTACTCCCAACACTGCATACCTTCACTGGACGAGCAACTGGAGGTGTGTGCACACTCACACTCAGTGTTGGGGAAAGTTCCATTTAAAAGTAATGCATTACATTACTTGCGTGTTACTTTTTGTCACCTGGGCTGGGCTTGCTTATTTGTTCTTTAATAACTAAAAAGCACAAAAGTTATATTTTTGGCAGTTGCAAAGGCCCTTTTTCACACCAAAATTGAAATGAATAAGCCTCAAGCTAAAGGATGTGCTTTTGTACCTCACTTTAGAAGTTACTTAAAGTAATCTGATTATGTTACTCCGTTACTTGTAATGCGTTACCTCCAAAACTGCTTATACTCAAACATCGTGTTCTCAGGGACAAAAAGCTTCACTTTACTTATGGATCGCTAGGTTACTTTAAGATTAATCAGTGAATTTTTATGAACTCACAGTAAACAATTATTTTGGTAACACTTTACAATAAGGTTCAATTCTTAAAAATAAAGGTTCTTTATTGGCATTTATGGTTCCATAAAGAATCTTTAACAGCCATGGTTTCTTTCCACATAAAAAAGTATCTTTATTTTTCCAATGCCCCTTTGACGCTTTTTGTGAAATATGGGAATAAACTGTAAAAAAAAACTGTTACAGTTTCGCTCTATGAATGAAATCGGACAGTAAAGGGAAATGTACAAGTCTAATAGCGTTAACAATTTACTTTCAACAGATCAGGAATAACCCCAAAAGCTCGATTATGTGAGTCTGCAGCAATATTACAAATGTGTTAAATATCACAGTAGTAATGTCTGCATTATGTAACATTCGTTGCCCTAATCAAAAATGTTCAATAACTGGAACATTGAGGGATAATATTTCAAAGCCATTTTCATCATTTTGACAGACAAAAAAATATTATATTTACCTGCTTTAGAAACCTTCCAGTAAACACTGTTAATAAGGATTCGAAGTGAAAAAGGGAAACAACTACATTTTAAATCATCCATGTGGAAATAAACCAGGAAAGAGATAAATAAAAATGAGAGATTCTTAGTGCATTCCAGTGAGTCGTGGAATATAATTGTAAATGAAATAGGGAGAATGGACCACACATATGCAAAAAAAATAAAATAAATAAATAAATAAGAAAAGAAAAGAAAAGAATGCAGCAGACTGAAAAGAGCTCTTGCCATAGATATTCTTGTGGCGATACTATATATACCACGTTAAAATAAACATTACATTATTCTCCTGACATCTGAAAATCAATCATTCAGTCCAACTAAAACATAAGAATCGGTGGTCTGATATTTTTTAATACTCGCTGTTGTCCATAGTTCTGAGTCAATGATTCAATGATCCATTTGTTCCTGAATCAATCAACTATTCTGAAAGAATCAACCATTTTAAACAAATCAGTCAAAATAATGATTCAGTGACTTACTCTTTAATACTGTTAACGTAGTTGCATATTTAAAAAGTATAATTTCTATATTTAAAATGGCATATTAAAGCTGATGTCTCATAACAATGTTTATGCAATTGCAGTGTGCATTCATGCCACCTTTGAGCTGCATTAAACATTAATGACTGTCCATTTACCTTTATTTAATAAATGCTATAAGTAAAAGAAGGCTACTGTTCATTGCATTCGCTGCTGCTAACATAACATTTTCATATTAGGTGTTATTTACTTTTTACAGCATTTAATAATCATGGGTAACGTGCAACTTTTTAACGTATGCAACTTTTAACATAAAAAATCTTTTGGTAATCTATAGAAATGAACATTTACCAATAAAGGTTCATTAATGATGGAAAAATTAGTTCATTGTTAGTTCAGATTGCCTATTGCATTAACAAACATTTCTCCACCTTGTTGTAAAAGTTGCCTTTAAAGGTTATCAGGATGATAGTCAGAGCAACTCGAAGGCCTACATTTCAACTGACAGTCAGATATGGCATGTTTGCTTGATTTTTTGTTTGCACTTCAAATGTGTTTGTACGTATGTGAGATAGTCTTATGTGAAATCACAAACAAGTTTTAAATATTGTGTTCAGAAACATCACTCAAGAACGTTTTGGCCCATATGTGTGGCTATTATTTAAAATTTATTAACCATAATGAAGCATTATTAAGCCTATTAACCATTGTTGATTGGTTTACTTACAACATTTGCATTCCTTTTCATTTATTCGAAAAAATATTTCAAAAAAATTAAGCATGAGAATTTTTCCATCTGGCAGCTGGTGTCGTATATCAGCCGTGCGTGAGAAATGTGGTTCAAGTAAAAGAAGTACAAAGAAGTCATGCTGTTACTTTGTCATACTTCTAATGTGAAAAAGGCTTTACTACGGTCTCAGTACATACTTTCAATGAGCTTTATTTTTCTTTTATTTCCAAAAAGGCACTTTTAGTGATTTATTGACATTGCTTATATTTGTCATGTAATTCCTAATTGAAACTGCGTGCACTAAAGTGTGCATGAGGCAGAAACTCTTTTTCAGTATAGCCTCTTCATCAAAACATAATCTCTCATGGCATGAAGCAAAGCATGTGGATTACGAGATCCTCTTAAACTACACTTAAGGAAACGCTAGCTCTGGCTTTGCTGAAGATAATACTGAACAGACAATTTGTCATCATAGGGATTCCCCTGTCACATCAAAGGAGGAAACATACTGAGGCTAATTTATAAACCGGCTACGTTCTTGACTATTTAAACTTCAAAAGTATTTTTGCCTGTATAAATGCAGCTTTGGTGAGCATGAGAGATGTTTTTAATTCAGATATATCATGTATATATAAACTCACCAACCCTACATTTTCAATAAATGCATATTAATTTGGTAATGCATATTATGATGCTGCTATATTTTTTAAATAATTTAAAAAATGTTTTAAAAATTTGTTGGTGTATCTTAAAAAAGTTAAATGAAAAAAAAATCATATGTAATCATTCACTCACCCATGTTGATCCAGAGTCGTGATGATTTTCTTCTGTGAAACACACACACACAAAATATTTTTTTAATAAACATAAAAGCATCAAGAAAGTAGTCTAAGTCATCCAAGTCATCTAAGGCTTTATTCATTCACCAAACTAATACCACTACTTCCTCATGACTCAAGTAGCAGAGTGTGGATGTCAAGATATTCAGGGAACAGTGACTTTAATTTAATTTCTGATCTTCAAATGAGTCATATTCTGAAAAAGAAATACACTTCTGCATACTTTTAAAAAGAGCACTTATTAGGGATTTAATATACTTTTTTCTTTTTTTAAAAATGCTTAAGTGTGAACTGAATGTTTTCGGACACTTGCATGTTATTTGAAATTAAATTAAAATGTACTATAATTTAAATTTATATTAAATGCAATTAGTTAAACTTAAGAGTGCTTTCGACCCACTGAAGTCAGATTTCAGCACAGCGTTGTAATTTCATAATTACTTTTATTGCCTTTGAAATACGGTTAAAGTATACAGATAAATTTACTGACAAGCATTTAAGATGAGCTAAACTATTCTTTCAAATATGATTTCCCTGAATCTTGTATGCCATGTATTTACATTTGTAATGAAGTTTATTTAAAATATATAACTTTTAAATGTAATAATCAAATAACACTACAATACTACAATTCAGAACAATAATCAAGTACTTATTCAAAATATCGAAATAAGTGTACTTCTTTGAGAATGACAAACAATTATTACAAAGTAATATATCATTTACTTTAAAACTTTTAATTTTACATGAAGAAACAGTCAATTCAAGTCATTGTCCTTTTATTTAATTAATATTATACAGTGGGGCAAAAAAGTATTTAGTCAGCCACCAATTGTGCAAGTTCTCCCACTTAAAAAGATGAGAGAGGCCTGTAATTTTCATCATAGGTATACCTCAACTATGAGAGACAAAATGAGAAAAAAAATCCAGAAAATCACATTGTAGGATTTTTAAAGAATTTATTTGCAAATTATGGTGGAAAATAAGTATTTGGTCAATAACAAAATTTAATCTCAATACTTTGTTATATACCCTTTGGTGGCAATGAATATATATATAATATATAATTTTTTAAAAGTAAATTTAAAAAAAAAATTCTTTTAAGATTTTAAATGTACTACAAATGCACATTCAATACAATTAAGAATACTCAATTCACAAGGGATGGACCACGTTTATGATTCTTTGATGGTACTTTTGTGTTCTTTTTGAAGCTTGAAACTTTGTGCCCCACTGAAAAAAAAAACATTCATGGTTTTAGAACAACATGAATTTGATTAGATGATGGCAGAATTTAAATTTCTGGGTGAACAATCTTTTTAAAATCCACCAAAACAATCTTAAATAGAGCTAACCCCCATCCCTTTGAATTTCTTTTTGGGTTTTTGTTTCACTCTCACTCTGCAGGAGGACCCTGTAGCATTCGAGGGGCAATACAATGAGTCTCCTGTCCAGGCACTTCAAAGAGTCGAGGAGGTTTTGTCCCTCTACTTGCACCTCATCACAACCACAAACACTCCAGTTAACTGGACCTGTGAGCAAGAGTATAGCAGCAATCTACCCCCTACTGCAACACAGCTAACCACCAGCACAGGTGAATGCACACACACACACACACACACACACACACACACACACACACACACAGCCACAAGACGCCCTTAATCTGCAAGTTTCCACCCACGGCGCCGCCATTGTGTTTTCACAAGCGACAACAACGGTGTACCAGTTTGGCAAAGGTTCGAGAAGGCATGGTAAATGTTTTGTCGTTGGCTCCACAGATGAGCACAGAACACTATTTAGAGTCCCAGCTTCAGAGGAGACAAGAGAGCAGTGGATTTACTGATTTATTTACTGTAT